ACATATTAAACTCAGGACCCGAATTGAAATGTCAAAAGTTACATTCAGTGACCAAATAGTAACAAATAAAACTTACACTGACCGAGGATGTAGTTTACCCACGAATTAAATTACAGAAACCCCCTCCCTAAAACGACGTCGCATGGAGGGGGTATATATGGCCGAAAATCGGCCCAGACTGCCTCAACCATCTCATTTTTTCATTGCTCTCTCTCTCTCATAAAACGAGAGAACTGAGACTCTCTCTGGCCTCTCTCCTCAAGGCGATTTCCGGCCGCCACTCCGGTGGCCCTCGTTGCTCCGACCGCCGCCTCGGCGGCCGAAAAACCAAGACTCGCCCCAAACGCTCGTCTCGCCGCCCCCAACCCGAAACCGAAACCTAAACACTCAAGAAATCCATCCATCGGCGTAGATCTACGCTTAAAGCTTCGACTTTTGCCTTTCTCGTCGGTGGCTTTTCGACTTCCAGTGTCCGTCGGGGCTCTGGGTAGCTTACTGCTGTTCTTTTCTTTATTTTTGTGTGTATTTCTTTGAGGTTTGCTTTGATGTTTGGCTGCTTTGGTTCGTGTTGGTTTACTATTTTTGGTATTTTGCGGTTCTGTTGGTTCTCGATGATTTTCTGGTTTCGATCCTTTGGTTTCTGGCCGTTTGGTTGTGGCTTGATTCTGTTGGTGTTATTCTGTGGGTACTGTGGTTGATGTCTTACTGTGATGGCTCCGATGGTTCTGCCTAGCCTCCGATCATCCCCCCTCTGCATGCCTCACCCGGGGCTTTTATAGCCCCGGTGTTTGTTGGTCTGGTCATGAAATAAGAGCGTTCGTGGCCGTTGTGACCGGTCACCCCGGGATGGGTCAGTCCCGGGGATCTCGACCGGTCGTTGGCACTGTTGACCATCTGTTTCACGTGGCTCTTGGTTTCCCGGGTTGTGTGGCGCCTTGACCGAAACTGGATGTGAAACCCTAATATTTCTGCTGGGCTGGTTTAGGCCCGATTGTTGGACTTGGACCCGTTCTTTAAACCTGAAATGAGATAAACGAAATAAATAAATAAATAAATAAATATCAAATAAAAAAAGAAATAAAAAATATATATAAAAAATATATTTTTTAAAATTATATTTTATATATGATTTTAAAAATGGTTTTCAAAACCATATAATATAATATATTTTCAAAAAAATATTTTAAATTTATATATATTTTCAAACATGTTTTTGAAAAACTATATAATATACAATTGTTTTCAAAAATATTTTTTCCAAAATAATATATTATATAAGTTTTCAAAATGATTTAAAAAACTATATATTATATATATTTTAAAAATGTTTTCAAAAATTATATAATATATAATTTTTTAAAAATGTTTTAAAAACTATATATTATATAATTTTCGAAAATGTTTTAAAAATTATATAATATATATAGTTTCAAAAAATGTTTTAAAACTATATATCATATACGTATTTTCAAAAATCATTTGTAAACTATATATATAAATGTATATATATAAAAAAATGTGGACGAAAATTAGTGTCTACAGTTCTAATGAAACTATCATGCGGTTTGTGTGAAATTTCTTAATATTGGGCACTGATAGTGCATATGTGCTGCCAATATCAGCCTGTTGCTGAAGATTGTAAAAGCTGGGACTTCTTTTTGAATTGATGCTGTTATTGAAAGCCAAACTATTTTTTTTCTTTTTTACTGAGTACTAGACTCACATCTTTCGTTTTCTGCTTATATAACGATTTTCGAAAATAGGAACATATTTTTATGCAGCTTGAATTATTGTCAGCATTGTTAAAGTGGCTGTCTTCATTTTGTCCTCTAAATTAATTTTTTGTCCTTGCATGACCTGGTTTCCGTATTATCTCTTGTAAGTTTTTTACTTACATAATGCCAAAGGTTGGATTCTAAAGTTGAGTTTTGCCTTAAGAAACAGTGACAAGGAAAACTCCAAGAAATGTCTAGCTCTATAAAACTTCTGTAATCCTGCATTTCATGGAGCGGGTCTGTAAAATTCCTTCAGATTATTTTGATTTCATCATTAATTTTTCAGATCAGTTGATTGTGAGAAAGAACAAGTCAATAACATAAACTTCGGTCACCGGTCAGGTTATATCTTTCCTTGTTAATATATATGTTCTATTGTTTACTTGCTACTATATTTGTTTTATTGATTACTTTTAAATATGTTACCTCGAAAACAACCATCGGTGCCCAAAATAGAAAATGAAAAAAAACAAGAACAAGAAATGGATAATTCTTTACATGGGTCTTTAGATAGATTTATTATTAGACCGATTAAACCTTCTAATAATCCGATTGGAAATTCTAATGATTCACCTAATATTTCTAATAATCCTATTGGAAATTTCAATGATTCACCTAATACTTCTAATAATTCTATTGGAAATTCCAATGATTCACCTAATGATTCTGTTGATAATTCTAAAGATTGTGAGAATAATGAATTTATTGATAAAGATAAATTAAGTGATTTTAATATTTTTGATCCTAGAGTGTGGGATGACTTAGATTCAAAAATGAAAGATTTACTTATAGAAAAAGGGCCTAATAGAGAAATTGAAACATTTTTCTTGTGATTTTTTATTCGTAAATTAAGAAATGGTGATTCTTGTGATAGAAAATGGTTAGTGTATTCAAAAGAACTTGATAAAGTTTTTTTGTTTTTGTTGTAAGTTGTTTAAAACCTCTCGGACTAAAAGTAATTTGGCAATTGAAGGAATAAATGATTGGAGACATTTAAGTGAAACATTAAAACAAGATGAAAATAGTTCCGATCATATGATTAATTTAATAACTTGGACCGAAACACGAATTAGGTTAAATAAAAATGAAACAATTGATAAAGAGTTACAAGAAATGATAAAAAAAGATATTGAACATTGGAAAGAAGCGATGGTTAGAATTATTAATGTTGTGAAATGTTTAGCAAAAAATAATTTGGCTTTTCGTGGTACAAATAAAAAATTTATGAAAACTCAAATGGTAATTTTTTAGGTATACTTGAAATGATTGTTGACTTTGATCTTGTGATGAAAGAACATTTTCAATTAATTCAAGAAAAAGAAACGCATAATCATTATCTTAGTCATAAAATTCAAAATGAATTAATCGAAATGTTGGCATCGGATGTAAAAAGTGCAATTATTAAAAAAATTAAAGATGCAAAATATTTTTCTATAATTCTTGATTGCACTCCGGATGCAAGTCACAAAGAACAAATGACTTTAATTATAAGATGTGTGGATGTGGCAAGTGTTCCAATAAAAGTCGAAGAATTTTTTTCATTTTTTAATTGTAGAAGAAACATCCGGTCTAAAACTTTTTAATATTTTACAAGATGCTCTAAAATCTCTTGATTTGGATATTAATTATGTTTGTGGTCAAGGGTATGATAATGGAGCTAATATTGGGTATGATAATGGAGCTAATATGAAAGGAAAACACAATGGTGTACAAAAATGGTTGTTTGATATAAATCGTAGAGCTTTTTATATGCCTTGTTGGTGTCATAGTTTAAATTTAGTTTTGTGTGATATGGTAAATTCTTGCCACAAGGCAAAAACCTTTTTTGGTACATGTCAAACAATTTATAATGTTTTTTCTAGTTCCACAAAAAGATGGAGTGTTTTAGTTGAATTTATAAACTAACACTTACATCATTATCCGCTACTCGTTGGGAAAGTCATATTGAAAGTGTTAAAGCAATAAAAACTCAATTCTCTCAAATAAGAGAAGCGTTAATAAAAATTAGTTGAAATTAGAAATGATGAAAAAGTGTGTCGAGATGTCGAATCACTAGTAAATGGTGAACTTTCTAGTTTTGAATTTATTTTAAGTTTAGTTATATGGCATGAAATTTTGTTTAGAATTAATTTGGTTGGTAAGAAATTACAATCCAAATATATGCTTTTTGATGTTGCGGTTAAAAACTTAGAGGGTTTAATTAATTACTTTAAAGAATATAGGGAAATTGGGTTTGACAATGCTATTAATGAAGTTAAAGAAATAGCATATAATATTGGGGTTGAACCTCAATTTCCTAAAAAAACGTATTTCTTATAGAAAAAAACAATTTGATGAAATTCCAAATACCGAAAGAGAACAACAATCTTCTCAAGAAGCATTTCGAAATGATTACTTTTATTATTCTTGTAGATATGACTCTTATTCAATTGAAAATTAGACTTGAACAAATGTAACATTTCGAGTTTATATTTGGTTTTTTGTTTGATGGCTCAAAGTTAATTTCATTACTTGATGACGAACTAAAAAAATGTTGTTTAAATCTTGAGTACAATTTGAAAAATGGTGAAGAATTTGATATGGAAGGAAAATATTTATTTATGGAGTTACAAATTTTGCAGAAAATGTTGTCGGATGAAGCACACAAAGGTAAAAGTCCATGGACATCTATTCAAATAATGGAGTTTGCAAGAAGAATGGATATGTTCCCTAATGTGTTGATAGCATATAAAATTTTGTTGACGGTACCGGTTACGGTTGCTTCCGCGGAAAGAAGTTTTTCAAAATTGAAGCTCTTGAAATCCTATCTTCGAAGCACGATGGCTCAAGATAGATTGAACGGATTAGTAATTCTAAGCATTGAAAGTCAATTTTTACAAAGTCTTGATTATCATAAAATAATAGAGGTTTTTGCTTCAAAAAATACACGAATGCATCCTTTTAGGTGATATTTGTAGCCTTGCAGGTTTTGGTTTGTATTAGTATTGATATTGTTTGACTATAATTTCTATTACATTTTTGTTTTAAAAAAATTATTTATGTTTTATCTATTATACGGTACAAGTGTAGGTGCATAAAATTATTATCTCGCCCAGGGCATTAAAACTCATTGGACCGGCACTGTGTATTATTAACGCATTCTTAAATTATTATTATAGAACATGAAAAAAGTGAATATTTTAGTAAGCAAAGAGAATTACCAAGCCAATTTCCCTGAAATGCTGTTCACTTTACAGGGTAACTAGAATCCATAGCAATACCGCATAGGCCTCTTTCATCAGAGACTTCACGTTCCATCCTAATATATCCAGATTCTCCCCAGGAGGTGCCCCAGGAATTCTTAACTAGCCAGTACTTCTTACTGCCATCTTCTCCATAGCCGACTACTGCAACTCCATGGTTGAGTTGATATCCACAACCTCCGGTGAAGACACCGCTTCTGTAGAATTGAAATTCATACCCACCTGCATCGATGGCAACTGATACAGGTTGCTTGGCGACTCCAACTAGCAGGCTTTTCTCCATGTTTTTATGTAATAATTCGTATCCACTAATCGTAGCTGCATAATTTCTAGCTTCTTTATCCTTGCAGCTGCCGTCTGTTCCCACGTATGGATAGTCTTTGTCGGCGGCAATTCCACCTTTCTTTATAATGAATTCGAATGCTTTGGTCATGTCTCCACCGTTGCAGCCTTCATTAAATGAGTCGGTGTCACAGTCAACAAGTTCTTGTTCTGAAAGAGACGTCAACTTTCCGGTCTTAATTTGATTGATTCCTTCTATGGCCGCCACCGCTGAGAACGCCCAACAACTTCCTGTATCATCACAAGGTAGGTGATGTTAAATCATGCTTGACATCAATGAAACAAATTAATTTAAATTTGGCAATTCATTGACAAAGCAAATAAGTCATACCACAGGTGCCTTGATCCTTGACAGCAGTCACTGCACCTTTCTTTCTCCAATCTATGCTCTTTGGCAAATCGTGATATTTGTCTCGTTGGAAGATTTTGGTCTCACGTGGAAACCTTAACCTCTGGTAACCCAAATACACAGCTCTGAACTCATCATTTAACATGTCTGCAAATTTGTTGTCAATCAACTTGTATGATAGGTTCCGAGAATTGATGCAATCGATGAACAAAGCATTGGACTTATAAATCTCGAACCGCAACGCCCATTCATTCTTGTTCTTGTACTTCCGGCCGTGTCGGCTCAGCCATCGTTCGTATCGTTCTAGCATTTTGTCCGAATCGTACCCTACGGAGCAGTTGTAGTGGCACCATACTCCCGAGCACATCCATAAGGCACACACAAGTAAAAGGGTGAAACTAGCATTCCCCATCTGCAAATTTTTATCCCGAAAGGTGGATATGCTGCAGAAGGAGAAGATGGGATTGTGTTGTGCTTATAAAATGAACAAAATTTAGAAATGTTTTGACACGCATTTTGAATCATTTAATATGTGCTTATACCATGTATGCTTTTCTTTTGGTTATGTTTTTGGCTGTTTGTTCATGCTATTTGTGCTTGTGAATTTCAACGGGGCAAGTCTTCTATGGTTTTACCGTCAAGATTGTACACTGCATTAGTAGAGATGATGAAGATGAGGGCAGATAAAAGCACAAATCTATTTGGTTGTGCTGTAAATAATAGAAATTGTTTGCTGCAATTTTTTATACAGACAAAAGATGAAGGCCCCTTGTCTTGCCTCTTGTTATCGTCATAAAGATGGTTGTAGTATCTTGTTCATAGTGTTTTGGATATGCATAACAATGGGATTGAATGATGCTCCAATACCCCAAGCTTGACCTACCTTTTGATGACCTTTGTTAGCAGGATGGATCGAGGGGGTTCTGGAGTGCGTCCGTCCCTGATTGTTAGGGAGCAAGGGATGAGGTCGTCAATAAGGCTTAATCATTCATTTGCCTCCTAAAATATACTCTTTGTTTGATTATATTGTCCTCAACTTTTTCATTAGAACCTTTAACCTTCTTATAACAATTAGAGATGGGCTAAAGGGTGATAGGGACTGCCTTCTCACAAATTTAGATTTTTATATAATTTAGATAATTTTTATTTTTTATTAAATTAATTTTATTCTTTAAAATTTTATAATTTCGTAGCTTAAATTTATAATATAAGTAATTAAATATAAAGTTCATCTCTTATCATAAACTCCTACGTTAATCTACCTAACATTTAATTCTTTTATCTAAATTGCCTCATTTTATTAACACTCCCCCCATGGTTTTCTTTTTTTTGCCCATTACGGATTCTAGGTTTTTTATTTAATTCGGATTTTTATTTTGGAGAATACGACATTTGTTACAGTGAATCTGGAACTGATCATTTTGAGGTGACGAATTTCAATAAAAAAATATTTTTTATTCAAACTCATCACCTCGAGGTGACGAGCTCCAATAAAATATAATTTTTTATTAAAATTTATCACATCAAACTTAAAATTTTGAATAAAAAATATTTTTTTATTTGAACTGTAGAAAATACTGTAGATCCCAAAATAAAACCCTAGTCCTAAGCATACTTAAGACCCAATTATGATTTACATAGGAATTTACAGATTGTCCACCAAAAGTGATAGTAGTAGGATTCAAACTAGGCTTACAAACTCAAATTCCTAAATTTCAACCACGTGAGCTTATATAACATTTTTAACAATAAAAAAACAACTGATTTTAAGAAGAAAGGATAAATGATATAGAGTTGCTTTATTAAAGGATTACTTGTTTGCGGAGAGAAAATCTTAATGTCCCATCCATGCACACGAAAATAAGTTCAACTTTGATGACAGACTGCACCAGAAGTCGGTGGTGCATGGTCAATAATTAGTCATCCCCAGCTGTTAGGTGGTTTTAAGGATTTTTTAGGGTAGATTTAGAAATATTTTTTAACATGGATATATATATATATATATATAATATAAAATTTATGTGCAATATTCATGTATGAGTGATAACAAATAAAATTTTAAAGTGAACAACTAATAAAATATATGATTAATCAAAAAAATTTGAATATAAAGTGGACACATATATTATACCTACGTAAACTAGGAGTGGATCTATCGTTGAATGCTCACGTAATACTAGGAGCTAGGAACAGCAACGGGCCGGGTTCGGGGCGGGTTCGGGGCAGGTTTTGCTCTCCCATCCCCATTCCCAAAATAAATCCCCGTCCCTATCCCGCCCCGATCCCCGTTGGGTTTTTTATCAGAGCTCCCCGTCGGGGATTTTTTTCCCCGTTCCCGAACTCGACCCCGAGAAAAACCATATTTTTCATTAAAAAAATAGAAAAAGCGATCACAAAAAATAAAAAATTAGTCTACATTATTTACAATTCAAACTACAGTCAAAAATTCAAACCCAATTATAAATAATTGTCTAAACTCCAAAATAAAACACATACATAATTAAACACATACATAATTATAAAAGCTAGGGTTTAGGGTTTAAGTATTTAAGGTTTAGGGTTTGTATTATATAATTAATATAAAAATATAAAATATTATATATATAATTAATATAAAAATAAAAAATATTATATATATAATTAATATAAAAAATAAAAAATATTATATATATATATATATATAATCGGGACGGGGCGGGGATACCTTGCCCCGAACCCAAAAAAATCCTCGATACCCGATCCGACCCGATTTAATTCAAACCCGACCTGACCCGACCCGAACTTGGTCGATTTCTGGTTTCTCCGTCGGGTTTGGGTCATTCTGCCATCCCTATTAGGAGCCTTGACTTATAAACTTGGACTCGTCTTCGAGATCCAGTTAAAGTTTTTGAGTGTGACTAATGTAAACAATAAGAGTAATTTGAGAGAGTACGTAATTTGTATCTAGAGAATGATTGGTGTGAGTGGTTATCATTTGATAATTTTATTTCCCTATTATTATAAAATAGATAGTTTCTCTCCCTTTTTTATACATATAATTGCGGTTATGTTCTTTATGAAAACAAATCGGTAGACGAAAGTGATACAAACAGGTGGTGGTAATAGAATTCGAATTTGATCTTATAAACTCAAGTTCCTGAGTCTCAACCACTTGTGCTTACACTCATTGATAGAGAGTAACTTTTGTTACAGTACAATAAAGTGTTTTATTTCTTTTATTCTTTTATTATATTTATAAGCCAATACTAACAATATTATTTAGCAATAATATTATTTACTAACGAAGAGAAGTAGCCATGGAAATATTCACCAGCAATAACATGACTTATTCATCTCTCTCCAAACTGGTAGCAGTCGAACACGAGAGCTATAACTACGACATCGTTCGGGTTTTCTCTTTATAGACGATACTGTCGTGAAATGCGAAAGATAACAGTGTTGGATTTAATTAATCTAGATTCATAAAATAATAAGAGAAAATAACCTCAGTGACCAAAAATCCCAGATAATATACGATTTTGACCAACTTTTTTTGGATTTGCGAAAATGACCAACAAAATCGCAATGCAATATTTTCCTTGTAGGACCAAAAATCCCAGATAATCCCGAATCTTGTAGGTAGAAAAATATTTTCCTTTACCTCTGAAACAACTTATAAGGAGAACAACACTTTCTTTACCACTAAAACAACCCAGTAGATTTCATGAACAATTTTAATACCAAAACATTATTAAGATAATAATAATTTGTGTAATATAGTGATGTTTTGTGTTATTACACTAAACATAATGAGCTTTTTTGTATAATTAAAATTCCTTGTACGTATGCAATTACACTAAGCATAATAATAAAAATATTTAAAATGTCAAGCAATTTTAAGGACAACCATAAAGAATTAAAAGTAGAGACAAATCTCAAAATTTCAATTAATGTAAAGACTAGGAGCATAATTAGATCCACCAACGCATTGATTCAGAATCAACTTAAACAAGGAGCACGCAACAAAACGCCAAACATATTGTGAATTTCATTTGATTTCATGACACAAATTGCATATTTGCCAGAACTCTGATTATGAATGAGAAAAATGAAAGAACCACAGCGTATATATCACAAAAATTACCAACCATTCCTGCAAACACAATGACCTCTAAAGGGGTCGGAAAGTAATACAAAAAAATTCCCTGACACCGTCTTGTGATTAAGCGAGAGAAGACAGCAATGAGGACGGAAATTATCGATACAAAATGTAATTACAACTTAACATTGCTGCCTGTAAAGAATATTAGACCACTAAAGCTAGCTACCCAACAGGTTAACTATTTAAGCCACAGGGGGCATTCTCAAATATATATTCTACTCAATCTCAATACCAAGGTTTCTAACTCAACCGCACAGTGAATGAACCATCTATGATGCCTTGTTACAAGAATAAACCTCTCTTCTTCCCTTTTCTTCTGTCACCAGCCTGCAAAAGCTAATAAGAGAGATCCTCTTGTGAACACGACGGTTTAAAACAATGCAAGAATTATTTAAAAATTTCAGCCAACAAAACCTATCAAAACACTAACTTTAGTCCTACAGCTTATCCAGCTTCTTATATCACATTATATTCTTCTGAAAGCTAACAAATATTTAATGGAGCCCACAACTAATGGTTCTCTATCTTTAACCACAACCAAACGCCCCGGTGCAAAAACACAAGGAAAAAGCACCCATTCCTATTCATTTTGGGAAACAAATGGGTCAAATTTAATGCCCGGCATGGAGTAAAACTCATCAAAATCACTGCCCAGAATGAAGTGAAACTCACATATGATTATACGTGCTAAAAACCATACTAAAATATTGACATACTCACATATCCAGTATGCCAAAAAAGCAAATAGTTTGAAGCTCCTAATCAGGATTAGGCTTCTATGTAGGTGTGTGCATGTGAGCATAACAATTCTCACTTTTCAGTGTGTAAAAATACAAGTATAGAAAGTGGAGAGTAATACCCGTATAATAAATAATCTCAAGGTGAGCACAATTGTATCTCTTGAGCTGCAGAAACGAAATGCAAATATGAATAAACTTATACCTCTACACAGCCACCATGAATGAAAATAAACACAGTACACCTTGTCCAAAATATAGATGAAAACAATCTTGAAAATTAAAATAAGACAGACACCAAGTTGGCAATAAATTGGCATTATATATTAGAACAGAAGCTGTCACAGGTGAAACAATATCCAGAATCGCACAAAACACCGTTGTAGATTTTTACTCTTGAAACTGACGATAGATATACATATACCACTTTTGGACATCTATCCCTCCTTAATCTTTAAATAAATATGAAGAGGCATGCAGAAGCAGGTTCCCAAGGGCCTTTCAAAGGTTTGCCTGAGGTCATTCTTGGCCGTAGGATTTAATTAAGCACATTTCTAAAATGGGAAGTAGTTAAGAGCTTCACTAGTTGGTAGTGCACAATTGAGTCCTATCTATAGGAAATCCACCTTTATAACGGAAAGTAGCAGCATAATTTTATTGTTTCTTTTTCTTTTTAAAATCAATGTTTTATTAATTGACAAGTCTTAGCAGTCTTTGTAATCTCTCAAATTTTATCTTTAGTAGAAAAGTTCTAATAGAAGTCGACAGCTCAATTTATTTAAACTACTGTAATCTCCTAAATTCAATAATCAGATTTCTATTTCATTACCTTTTTTATTCTTTCCCTCTTAGATTATAACACAATCATTTCTATACAAAATCTTTTTTATAACTAGTTATAAATAATAGATCTTACCTCTGAAACAATTAACATAATTATTACACAGGTAAGTTTAAAAAGTAATCAACTGCAGTGATTATCTGGTATCATTCAGTTCAGAAGGAAAAAGTTGAGGGTTTTACTAGGTTAACTCAGAATGCAAAATACCAGTTAGAAAAAAATGGTAAACACAAGTAGTTTAAATAGGGGATTTAAATTTGCATGCAAGCACACAAACGAACACAAAAGAGAAAAGAGGAGGGTTTTACTAGGTTAACTCAGAATGCAAAATACCAGTTAGAAAAAATTGGTAAACACAAGTAGTTTAAATAGGGGATTTAAATTTGCATGCAAGCACACAAACGAACACAAAAGAGAAAAGAGGTGGTAAAAGAGATTCAGAGAACCTTCCAAAATTGGGGAATAACATCCATTTTCAGTTCATATTTCAAAGCAGCAGAGGATTATAGAGTCAAACATTGGATCCATTTCACATAAAATTGAGCCTATAAGGGCCATCTGAGCCTCTATCGATAGTGTACATCAAAGTTTACCCTATGTGAGTATGAGTCAATATACAAATATCATCCAGATTTATTAAAGTTGTTGGTCTTTGATGCAACCAGTTCATATTTCAAAGCAGCAGAGGATTATAGAGTCAAACATTGGATCCATTTCACATAAATTGAGCCTATAAGGGCCATCTGAGCCTCTATCGATAGTGTACATCAAAGTTTACCCTATGTGAGTATGAGTCAATATACAAATATCATCCAGATTTATTAAAGTTGTTGGTCTTTGATGCAACTCTCGAGACTAAGTGAAAATGTCGACGGTAAAATGAGCAATTGAGCATTAGGTGCATTGGGCTTTGGGTTCCAAAAGGGAAGTAATCCCCTCCACCCCAAAATCCAGTGCATCAAGACTTTCAGGATAAAACATCAAGTCCAAAACATTAAGGTGTCCCCTTAGGACTATATGAAAGTACTTTGCGTGATATTAGTAGAATCCTGTTAATTTTGTTAACTTTTCAGATGTTATTCTCAAATATACTATGTTTATGGATGTGTAATCAACAATTGTTTATTTATCTACAAGAGGAGCTTTGAACTTACCGGCTAATATCTTGAGAACTACTGTCTGCTCGTAACACGCGCTGGACACCATTCGATCCAATAATCATAAACTCTGTAGGCTCTTCGAATGTAATTTTAATCTAGAGAAACCAATAAATACATAAAGATACCAACATAAATATACAAGAATAATTGCCATCTAATGCCAATAAATAATAAATACACAAAAATATACTAAAATATATATACAAAAAAAATTAAGAGAGCGCTTGCCATCTAATGCCTTGGGAGAAAATAATTTATCAAAAGCAGTCAAAATCAGTAACTAATAAATTTTATTAATTGCATCAGAAACCTATACATGGAAACAAATATATTGAGGCATTTTTTTACTTCATTAAAGGATTACTGAACTTAAAGGACGAGATATACAGAATAAGATGTGATACTTCATCAAACAAATATCAATTATTGTTTGGATCAGAGAATTTATCTCCTAGTCTGTATGTTTAAGCTTAGAATAATCCTGGATCCCCATCATTACAAAAATAAGATCTGTGGTGAGATTTGGTTTACTGCAATGACCCAACTTTAAAGTGATAGATTCATTTATTCCACTTCTCTTTGGTTCGTAAATTGAACAAAGGGAAACTTAGTACACCAAGGTATTTACCTCTATGCTAATGTGAATTACAACCTTAATGAAATGCTACCGCACATAGTGCTTAGAGCAACCCCTCACCAAAGAGGAAAGTCTCTGAAAGTTCCCTAATCATGAACTTTGCTTTTCCAAATTGATTGGAATGATCATAGGAATAAAAGGACCATAGAGCATAAATCTTATGCGGGAACAGAGCAACTAGATGTGATGCTTAATGTTATGAAGGCTAGCTATTAAATCAAGAAACAAGTGTGAAGCTTTAGGGGTTTTTTGTCTTCTCTTTTCATCATTTACCATCCCTATCTTTCTCAAGGACCACAATCAATTCAAATCTGAAATGTTATAAATCATAACATCCTGGCTGTATTACATCACTCATACAAGATTTCAAAAGAATAATCAAGTTATTAGACATACCTGAGTGGTCAGGTGAAGCTTTTCAGTGATCACAGGACCATTGGGTCCACTAAACTTGATAATGTAACCGTCTCTTTTAATGGTCAAAGTAGCTGGTTCCCATATATCAAGATATCTTGTCTGTGATATAAAAAGACTTGAGAGTATATCATTTAAATTAGATAAAATTAATAAACACTAGAAAACTAAATGGAAGCATTACCACACGGGGGCAAATATAAACAACCATAAAAGTGCAAAATCATACCGTAAATGAAACTTTATATGAAGCTTGGCCACTATGAAGAGTCTTCTCTATGTGGGCTTGCATCTCCGGATCTGTTAAAAGTGAAGGGAACATAGGGTGAGAAAAAGTAGTTGACAAGGGATTAGACAGAGATTCTATCCTTCTCAAATGATAGAAGGCAAAGAAAACGTCCAAGAAAAAAGCAACAAAAACTTAATCCGGTACAGGTAGAGATCCTTCTGTCATTAATTTCCAACTCACCCGTTATCACCAATTTTTTCTGTGGGACTCAGTTATTTCTATGGATAGTCATGAGTCATGACGGGTGTACTGGAAAGATTGGACAACAAGAGTAATGGAGGGACAGAGAGCCATTGGTACTGTTATCGACCAAGTGTCCATCAGACAAGAGGGTCAACAAATCCTTCTTTTTTAATTTAGCACTCTTCACGGACAAAATAAAGAATGCAAGAACAATAATTGCTGTTACAATCAGCTAGAGCTTATTAAGTTTTTCTATGGTTTTATAAGATCTCATTTACATTCATTACAAGTGAAAAGGTAGGCTACAGAAACATAATGTATCAATACCACATGTGATCTTCTTGTGCTCATTGGCGAAGACCTTCACCAGCTCTCCCTGAATTGAGACATTAAACAAGTTATTCAAATTGGCAACAATAAGCAGATAGTCTCCCAAGTGCAAAGCAAGTGGTGCCTTGAGCATATTTGAAAACTGATGACTACAATATTCCCGAAAAAAGTAATTAAAAAATCTACAACAAATAATCATCATATTCATCTTTAAGATGCCAATTCCTGGTTACAACAACTAATACATGTGCAAAACATGAAGGAAATAAGAAAACTTCATAATGCAAAACTAACGAATACATGAATCAACAAGGCTGTCTATCATTAAATAGTTCTTCCCTGGTAAATAGTTCAACATGAATTTTTTTTCCTTTCTAATTTCTACACTACCTTGATATTGATGTCTTAAGTGTAGAAATCAGAGTAATTTTCTGTATTTTCTTATTTTTTTTTCAATAGGACATATTGCATCTTTATATACAAATTATATCTCTAAATTAGGAAAGATACCAATCCTAAGAGATATGATCCCTTAAAATAAAGGATTGTAGAAAACTATTTACAGAATCCCTTAACAGAAGGGATGGTAACAACTCATATATCTCTATAATTCCTACACTCCCCCTCGAGCTGGAGAATATACATTGTATAATCCCAGCTTGAATAGGAATTTAGTGAAAACAGGCTTTGACAAAGTCTTAGTGAGAATGTATGCAATTTGTCCTTTAGAAGGAATGTATGAAAGTGTCTTTTTGTTAACTTGATCAGCAATAAAATGCCTATCAATCTCAACATGCTTTGTCCGATCATGTTGAACTGGATTGTTGGCAATCTGAATAGCAGATTGATTATCACACTAGAGTCTGTAAAAATCTTAACAGTTCTGTCTTGTGTCTTCTTAAGCATTGAGCCGTGTTTTGGAGGTTTCTTCAAATACTTGAGAATTCCATTTGCTGCTGCCATATGCTCTTCAATAGGATTAGTCATCTGTTGACTTATCACATTTACGGGAAAGGTTATATACGGCCTTGTCAAGGATAAGTAAATTAGTTTACCAACTAATCTTTGAAATTTCTCTCTGTCTACTAAGGACCCATCTTCTTTGTTGAATCTTAAGTTTGCCTCCATTGGTGTATCAGCCGCCTTACAACCAAGAAAACCAGTTTCTTTGAGTAAATCAGGTATATACTTTCTTTGAGTAAATCAGGTATATACTTTCTTTGGTTGATCACAAGTCCTTTTGACCTTGCCACCTTTATTCCTACGAAATACCTTAGCTTTCCCAAGTCTTTGGTTTCGAATTCCTTATTTAACAACTTCTTCAAATTGCTAATCTCTTCATCATCTCCAGTAAGAATTATGCCATCCACGTACACAATTAGGATAGCTTTCTTATTTGTAGAAGTTACCTTGATGAAAAGATTGTGATCGGCGTGGGACTGCTTGTAGCCATTTTAAGAATGACTTTAGTGAACCTCTCGAACCAAGCTCTGGGTGATTGTTTTAACCCGTATAGAGAATTATTGAGCTTGCAAACCTTGTTGCTACCTTCAACAGACTTTAAGCCAGGTGGCAATTTCATATAGACTTCTTCTAGCTTGCCATCAAGAAATATGTTTTTTACATCAAGTTGGTGTAAATGCCAATCGCAAATTACAACCAAACTTAGGAGTACTCGAATAGTGTTAAGTTTCGCCACAGGTGCAAAAATTTCTGTGAAATCTATCCCATATGTTTGCGTAAAGCCTCTGGCCACTAATTCAGCTTTGTATCGTTGGATACTACCATTGGAGTTATACTTTACAGCAATGATCCATTTATAGACAACAACCTTTTTTCCTTGAGGAAGATCTGTAACAGTCCAAGTAGCATTTTTCTCTAGTGCACAAATTTCCTCTTCAACAGCCCTTCTCCATTTTGAATCCTTTAGAGCTTCAGCTATGCTTGTGGGAACCTGTTATTTATCCAAGGTTGTTGTAAATGCTTGAAAAGAAGACATCAATTAATTATAACCAGCAAAGTTTTCAATAGGATGCTTGGTGCCCTGCCTAACCTCTTTTCTAATAGCAATAGGGAAGTCATCAAGAGTAGGGGAAGTGGCCTTACTGATTTCTTCTTCCATTTCGGCAGCTAAACCCAAATCCAATTCTCGGCAAGAATCAAATTGCAAAGCAGCCTCAGGAATATGTTTTCTTTTCCTTGTATAGACACTAAGTTGTTTGATTGGTGTTGTTTTTGGAAGATTTTTAATGGGAGTACGTGTATTTTCAAGAAGGGTGTTTAAAGTAGGTGTGGGTGAATTAGTGATAGGTATTACAGATGAATCAATGGGAGTAGTTACAGGTGACAAATATGTAGGTAAAGGAAAAAATGGTGGCAATTCTAAAGGTTGAGAATGAAGAGTAGGAGGAGATACCTGATGTGGCTGAAAATCCTTCCATATCTCCCATGAATTTCAGCCTGAGTGAAATAGGAATCCTGCTCATAAAATGTTATATCCATAGTGGTAAAAAATCGTTTAGAATGAGGATGATAGCATTTATAACCCTTCTTAAGTGAAGAATACTCAAACAGTACACACTTTAAAGACTTAGGATCTAACTTGGACTTATTAGGAGCAATGTTTTAGATAAAAACAGTACAGCCAAAGATTTTAAGTGGCAGAATGGAAGAGATAGGTTTAAAATGGGTAAAGTGTTGCAAAATTATAGATTGAGGTGTTTGAAATTGTAAAATCTTACTAGGCATTCAGTTGATTAAATATGTGACAGTTAATAAGGCTTCCCCCCAAAAAAAATATTTTGGAACATTAGTGGTAAATAGAAGAGAACGAGTAACTTCAAAGAGGTCTCTATTTTTTCTTTCGGCAATGTCGTTTTGCTGTGGGGTTCCAACACAAGAACTAATCTGAACTATACCCTTTTCCCTGAAAAAATCACCTAAAGACTTAGCAAAAAATTCACTGCCATTATCATATTTAAAGAGCTGGATTTTAGACCCAAATTGAGTGAGAACCATGTTATAAAACTAGGCAAAAGCACCAGCAGTTTCAGATTTATCTTTTAGCAAATAAGTCCAAGTTATCCTATTGTGATCATCAATGAAAGTGTTAAACCACTTACAATTATCAGCATTCTTCACCCGAAAAGGGCCCTAAATAACATTGTGGATCAAAGCAAAAGGATGAGAAGGCTTATATGTAGAGGGAGAATAAGATGATTTAGAATGTTTGGCAAGAGAGTAAACTTTGCAAGAAAAAGAATTTTGCTTTTAATTAATGAATAGAGTAGGAAACAATTTTGCAAGATAGTGGAAACTAGGATGGCCTAAACGAAAGTGACATAACATAACATTATCAACTTTTTCTAAAGCGGTGAAAGATTTAGAGATCTCGGTTGTAGTAGAGGAAGGGAGAATGTAGAGACTATTCCGCAAGTTGGCCTTACCAATCATCTTCTTCGAGTTCAGTGCCTGCAAAGTACAATCAATATAAGTTAAAATTGCAGAGCAATGCAAGTCGACGGGAAGTTTACTAACTGAAACGAGATGGCAAGCCATATTTGGTACAAAGAGAACATTTTTAAGTGCAATCTGTTCATTGAGAACAACAGTGTCATGTCCTTTTATTTTGCACAACCATTAGTCGTTTTGACAGCTTTACCAAAGTTTGGGAAAAAATTGCAAAACAAAGTCTTATTACCAGTTCTATGATCTGTAGCTCCAGAATTGAGGATCCAATTAAGAGTCAACTGGGAGGAGAAAAAAGATGTAGCATAAGGGTTACCTTCTGGTTCTTTCATGATCAGATTACCCTCACAAGGCCACTAAAACTTTCCAAACAGTTTTTGAAGTTCAGCAATTTGTTCTTTGGTGAAGCTAGTAACAGATGTGGCAGCGATTAGGCTTGATTTATTATCGCAAGAGTTCTTGGACTTCCATTTCTAAGGTTTACCATGAAGCTTCCAGCACTTCTCCTTGGAGTGGCTGGGCTTTTTGCAATCGTCACACCAAGGTCTCCCCCGTTTGGAAGTGCGAGATGATTGATGGGTGAGTAAGGCAGATCCTTCATGAGGGGAATATGGTTCATCAGGCATCATCACACACTTGCGGCTTTCTTCCTTCTTAACAATAGAGAGCCTCTCGAAGGGAGGGAAGAGAAATAGCCAGGACCCTGCCATGAACCTCGTCCAGGTCCTAGTTTAACCCTTGGAGAAATTGAAAAAATCTTCGCTGAGTGACAATTTTCTGGTAAAAGGTAGCATCTCTTGGATTTGCCCAATCATGATGTGCATACAAATCTAATTACTGACAAAGGGCAGTAAGGGTATTGTAGTAGAAAGTGACAGGCATGGTTCCCTGCTTAAGGGTGGCTGCCTGATCTTCAATATGATATAATTCGGCAATGTTATCAGTCCTAGAGTAGGTTTCAAGACTGCACTCCAGATTTCAACGGTTGTGTTGTACAGAAGAAAGTTTTTGTTTATACTTGGGGTCATGGAATTGAGGAGCCAAGTACCCATCCACTTAGCAAAAACAGTGTCAGTCGCAGCAGGCTTTTGGATTTCACCAGTAACGTAGCCAAATCTTTCTCTACCCAAGAGAAAAATCTTAACCGATTGGGACCATTCAAGAAAGTTGTTGACATTCAATATAGTCAGACCAAATGAATTTGATTGAGCATCAGAACCAGAAAGATTTTCTGGATTTAAAGTGATCTCCGGAGTAGGAGGAGATATAGGAGAATAAGTCGTTGACATGGTCTAGGTTGGAAAGAAACCATAATCTAATCTGATACCATGTAGAAATCTGAGTAATTCTTTGTATTTTCTTTTTTTTTTTCAATAGGATATATTGCATCTTTATATACAAATTATATCTCTAAATTAGAAAACTCTAAGTAAGGAAATATACTAATCCTAGGAGATATGATCCCTTAAAATAAGGGATTGTAGAAAATTATTTACAGAATCCCTTAACTGAAGGGATGGTAACAACTCATATATCTCTATAATTCCTACAATAAGAGATTCAGACAGACCTCATAACAGATTCATAGGCAAAGAAAAATAAAAGCCAAGGACAACAAACTACACTTGAATACACAAGGTTCCAAATATGGGAAATTGCATATTGAAGTAAATACCTTGCGCTTCCTGTTATCTAAAGGTTGAACTTCAATAGCAAGGTATGTATCAACATCATCAGCAGTAACAAGATAGTTTGGTTCCTTTGCTCCTGTTATTCAGAACCCTTTTAGAAACATGTTCAATAAATAAGGGGTTACATTTTGAAGACAGGCTTGAGAACCTCAAGAAGATAAAAGACAAGAAACTACCTTCAATGTAATTAACAGATCCGTCTTCCATATGGCGCACCCACTGTCATGGCAAGCACATTACAGCATTATATATACATACTTTGGAATCAAGAGAAATGCTAGCTAATACAAGGCATCTTCAAATACATCCAAGAAATAACAATACCCAAAATACTAGATGTTCAAAACAGAGGGTAGGAAAAAATCCAGAAAAGGAACCTCGAAATTACAACTGGTAGTTCCATTAATAGAATATCCACACGCCTGAAGTTCCCTTCCTGGATAAGCTTCCCCTGAAATTTGGAGACCTTCTATGGCTGGAAGTCGATCATCTTCAGCAGCTACACAAAGCAATACAAAATATAAGACAGTCAATCTTAAGGCTTACAATCAATAAAGCACGCTTAATGCCTTACCCTCAGAAAAAGAAGACGAAGGCTCTTCGAGAACTGGTGGCAGATAAGAAGGATAAGAGGAATTAGGGTCATCATGTGCATTATAAGGTGAGTTTCTTGAATCCCAATTGGAGGTAGGTTCTTTTTCAATCTGGGGTCCCTCAGTATCAGGATAATCCATCTCATTAGTGCTAACAAGGTCACGAAATTTAACTTGTTTATTAATAGTTTCTTCACCATATCGCATGGTATTCATGTCACCCTGAGCTCCTGCAAGCTGTGTTGGTGCCTCAATAGCAGTAGAAGTCCTGGCAACCATTAAAAATAAAACAATTTTGTTTTTATTATAACATACACAAATGTTAACATGCCCTAATCAAACAAAAACACTCAGCACTTATCCTTATTAAAAAGTTCATGTTTCTTTCTTCAAACAAAATCTGTAAGAGATTATAAGTAAAAAAAATCCACTCCAAAAACTTATAGACTATCAACTACTTCTCCCTCATTTGACTATTTCTCCAATATGCGGAGGCAGTATAATGTCACAACAGAATATTCATATTGGCTCATCCTGAAAATCTAGCTTTTGAAATGATTTATGCATACAAGGCACCAAAAGGAATTCAATGAAAACAGAACCCACTAACAAATGCATATGGTTGTAATTTGTACATTCAGTTCACAATAGCATTCTCCATTTGACCAGGCTCACCTGCTTGTTATGGGTGAATACCTTCCCAAATCATCAGGTTCCAAATTTGTTGAAGCAATGCCGCCACCCAAGCCACCTTGGTGCTGACCAGGTAGATCCCAGGTTGAGTCTGTCTGAGCATTAGAGATTATATGTGCCTTTCCTTGGGGAAAACCCAACTGTGGAACCAATTCAAGACCATTTTTGCTCTGCAACAAAGTATAGGAATAAGAATACCATACTGTTATAGAAGTACATATCCAATGAATATATTATAAGCATACTGAAGTTGTCAATGTTGCACCAAGGGAATGAGATGGGGATTGGGCAACAATATTGGAATGATTGACATCTGACCGCCAAGGTGTCAATTGATATTGTGATTCCTTTAGCTTTGACTGAGACCAGCAAAAGAAAACATAAACATAATTAAGTATTTACAATCACCATGATGCTCAAAATCTCAAACCATGATTAGCACAGGCTAACTCCATCAGAACTGGAAAAGAAAATGCCTCCAGTTATTATAAACTCATTCAATGTAACATACCTCGGTGATAAGAAGCTTCTCTTGCAGATGTTTAAATAGAACCTGCACGAGTCCAGTAGTAACTTCATAACACTGAATTAAAGAGAAGAAACATATGTTTTGACTCATTCAAAATAATTCTTCACTCTTATGTTTTGTGTCCTTCTCAAATATATGTCATTTCTACACTTCAAAAATATCAAGGATAAAAGTGGATAGATACGGGTACGTTATGGTATATAAGGTGCTACAGAAACACACAGCCACACACAAGAAAGTTCCAAAAATAACAAAACAAAAAGAATGTAGGAGAACAAAAATGATATCTTGTTGTCTAATGATTACAATGGCAATGAAATTTGTAAGACATGCATTTTTTTATTTAACATTTCAAGAATACTACCTTTTTTCTATCTATTTTATCATTTCATCATAAAAAAGCCAAAATACTGTCAAGATGACCAAGTCAATATAGATGTATCATCACATTAAAAAAAATTAATAGAACAGAGATATCAAACCAAAGACTAAATTAATTATTTGGAGAGAAAAGATGCTCATACCAATTATGATCATTTTTCAATATTATTCTTGATAGGACTGAATGGTGCACTTTCATTTGAGATAAGGGGGAAAATCATATCAATATAGATACATAATACATGCATATAGATACATAATACAGGCATTTAGAAACTGACCTTAACGTTGCTTACAATGGATTGAGCATCAGGAACTGGTGGCTGCTGGGAATACTCTGCCAATAGAGGAAGCAGAGATGACACAAATGTTGTTCTTTCTTGCTGCACAGCCTAAAAAAGAGGACCAAACATAGAACATAGAAATGTATATCTTTAATAACAAACATGATCCTAAATCCTAATCATCATAATAATATACAACATCACAATATATTGGCAGACATGCATAAGTTCATCATCGTGACAAACGTTTTTTAGTTTTAAAATGAATTGAGTTAAGAAAGAAAAAATGATTTCACATCTAAAATAGTTTGAGCATTAAGCTTTAACACCCAAAAGAATTCAGGAACATTGCAAGTTTGCAACCTACAGAAATTGAGGGGACACGTATCAATGTGAAAAGGAAAAGAAAACCATTATCCCTCAAGGTGAAAATTAAATAACATTAAGAAATGAAAAATACCTGTAATTGATATGTTAGACGAATATTTTCCTCAATTATGTCTTGCCTATAAGAGAGAGCTGTTGAGGCAGCATCAACAAGGTCCTGTTGTTGTTGATCAAAGGCCTGGTGACAAAAACTCAAAAAAAATGTTAATATATTTACTTTCATGAACAAGGAGCTGAACAAAAATAAAAACAATTGCACTGTGCAACGGAAGGGAACACTAGGCTAGTGCCTACCAGACGCATATAAGCAATGCGCTTTTCAAGAACATATTTTTCATTACGAATTTGTGCTTCCTGCAAGAGTAACCATGAATAATTAAAAATTCAAAATTAACATGAATGAAAACAGAGGGGGAAAAGGAAGCAAGACATAACCTTGATGGAAAATTCAGCAAGCTGTTTGCGCAACTGCAAAATCTCTTCTTCATTTTCTCGACCCTTAATAGAAGCATCCTGAAGAAAACTCGGAGATAGCATTCCATAAAAAATCTATAAAAAAATTACTTCGGCATATTACAAAAGGGCACAAAGGAACCTGTTTCCAAATGGAATTGGAATTAGCCATTGGTATGAGACCCTGTGGCAATCTAGAACTGTATTCTCCGTCTAACTGATACCTAACATTTTAAAAGAAACGAATAAGAAAAATCCCATGTTTGATGTAAATACAATGAAAGGACTAATGCAATGTAAGAAGAAGAACCTGGTTGGCGAAAATGAGGTAGCCGTAGAGGGCGAAGAGAGACGAGAAATAGCAGGACCCGTATTATTATCAGACGCAGCAGCAGCAGCAGCAGAAAATGCATTCAAAGCACCATTTAAGATGGTATCGGTAGCTTCCTTTGCAGAAGCATTTTGATTGTTAACACTTTCCACTTTCTGTTTTCCATAAAATATAAGTAAATTGAGGCATGAATAAAGCATGGCGAAAATATAGAACTTCATTAATAACTAAAAGGAAAAAAAAGTTAATTTTGCTACATATTTTTCGAGCTGCTCAAGTTTCTTCTGGAGTTCGGACCTCAACCGACTGTTCTCTTCTGCCTGAGAATAGATGCAAAAAATAAATACTTTTCTTCTATCATAGCAACTAGAGAAGAAGAAGAAGACCTGTTGCTTAATGGTGGCTTCGGCGGCCTCAACAGCTTTCATGACCTGAAACAAGCTATCATCGTTGTTGTCGTTGAGGGCCAAACCCGACAGCTTTTCAGCCAATTTCCGATCGTGACCATTCTCCATGCCCCTACCTCTCAACACTGCCCTGATTTAACGATTCTTAAAAAATCAAAATCTCAAAACCCAATCTCGATCATGCCTATGGAGATTGATGCAAATATTTTTAGCCCCATGAAGAACCCTAACCTAATAACCTAAAAACTAAAAATAAAATATACGGAATGGGAAAAGGCAATGAAATGAGTAGAAGTGGGAGTGGGGAACGGGGAGAAAGGGAAGGACAAAGTGCTCGTGTTTACTAAGACATTACAAACAGGCAAACCGTAGATTCACCGAACAATAATTTCCCGGTATTATTACGAAATTACATTTTTATCGTTTTTGTTAAATTGTATTATTAATCCTTATGTTATATATAACTATAAATTTCATTTCTACATCATATAATTAATCAAATATCTCACGAGTTTGGTGATTCTAATCTCTATCAAAAAAAAGTTTAGTTATTCTAATCTTAACATGTCGTAGTTAAGATATATATATATATATAGTGTTTGGCCAAATAATTATTTTATTTTTTCTATATTTTAATATTAATATTTTATTTTAGGTCAAAAAACTTTTTAATATTCGCAATAAATATTTTAACTTTTTTTAAGTATTTTGGCCCCAATAAATAAGACCCCTAATTTAAAGCATTAACAATTTATTGATTAATTATTTCATTTACAAAGGTTTTTTTAAAATAAAATGTCTTCAAAAAACAGAATAAAGAATAAAATAATTATTTTATTAAACTTTAGTGATATTTTTTAGGCTAAACTATACAATGATCATTTAAATATTTACCCCTTTTATTTTTACCATCAATTATTGTCAACCAAACCACTAAACTATTTAATTGTATCAAATTAAATACTTGTTAATATTTAAATAAAGTACTTAGGTGACAATTAATAAAATTGGTATAGTTATACATTTGATCATCAATACTTATATATTATATTAATTTGAGCCTAATTTTAATTAATTTAATAAATTTAATCCACGTGCCACCATCTGATTAAAAGGTTTTTTCATAATTTAAATTTATTTAATGTAATTATTTTTTTCTTCCAACTAGATGGTGACATGCGTACTTATATATTATATTAATTTAATCTTAATTTTAATTAATTTAATATATTTAACTCTCTAATCAGATGATGACACGTGTCACCACTTGATTAAAAGGTTTTTCATAATTAAAATTTATTTAATGTAATTATTTTTTTCTTCCAACCAGACAATACTTATATGTTATAATAATTTGATCCTAATTTCAATTAATGTAATAAATTTAATTCTCTAATCAGATGATGGCAAGTGTCACCACATAATTAAAAGGTTTTTCATAATTTAATTTATTCATTTTTTTCAATAAGATGGTGACACACATAGTTATATATTATATTAATTTGATATTTATTTTAATTAATTTAATAAATTTAATTCTCTAATTAGGTGATGATTGTAGGAAAAATATGAATGAATTGATTGAATCATAACTATTCATGAAAAATAATTAAGTCTTTTCGTGAACAATAGTTATTTGATTTCACTCTAAAGGTCATGTCTTTCCATGATAACCTTTTGATTAAAATGTTATGATTTTTAATCAAATGGTTAAGTCATTTCATTTAAAGGTCTTAACATTTCAATAAAGGTCTTAACCTTTCAATCCTCTCCCTATATAAAGGCTAAGTTGCGACACATTTCATCACACAACTTTCTACTATTTTCTTTCAAATATTTCCCTTTCAATTCTCTGATTCTTCCAAAGTCATTTTTCGATGATAGATAAAAACAAATATTGTGTTCGATTGTTCACTTCAGTTGTGCTTACTATTGTGAACGTTTGTTGTTGTATCCTGCTCTGATTCTTCCAAAGTCATTTTTCGATGATAGATAAAAACAAATATTGTGTTCGATTGTTCACTTCAGTTGTGCTTACTATTGTGAACGTTTGTTGTTGTATCCTGGGAGATCGACGTCCAACATTACTCAAAGCACCGAGGAGAGGACGAATATGTCTTAAGGAAACTGTTTGTTCAGGCCTCAACGAAACTCTTCTTCTATTTATTCAGTTCCATCCGATTACATGTTCTATTTTATTTCACATTTATTTTTACTTTATTATTGAAACGAAATTTTTAGATTATAATACTACAACACTATTTTTCAATATTTTGCAACAATCTTAAGACAGATTCCTTGTGTTGTAGTTCAATCTAAACTCAAAACGATTACCGTGGTAATATATTTAGGTTAATATATATTTCATTTCATATTATATTTATTATTTTGGTTTTGATTCCGATTACAGAAAAATGTCTGATACTTCATCCAATTTACAGTCTAATGCGATTGTCGCTACACAGACTCAGGCTGCGAGCCAAACGTTAACTATGACCATGAGTCATAATGAAAAGCATGCGAAATTCAATGGAGAGAATTTCAAAACATGGCAACAGAAAATGTTGTTTTATTTGACGACATTGAATCTGGCCAAATTTTTGAAGGATGATCCTCCTACTATTAGAGAGGATGAAGTGGATGTTGCAACCGCATTCAACATTACCGAAGCATGGAAGCACTCTGATTTCCTATGTTGTAACTACATCTTTAATGGTTTATCTGATGCACTTTATGAAGTATACAGCATAAAGAAAACGGCTAAGGAAATATGGGAATCATTGGACCATAAATACAAAACTGAAGATGTTGGTGCTAAGAAATTCTTAATTGCCAAATTCTTAAACTTTGTAATGGTTGATTCTAAAACTGTTGTGAATCAGGTGCAAGAATTCCAACTAATCATTCATGGTATTCTCGCAGAAGGGATGATTATAAGTGAATCCTTTCAGGTGGCGGCCATTATTGAAAAACTTCCACATGCTTGGAATAACTTTAAGAATTACCTTAAGCATAAGAGAAAAGAAATGACAGTGGAAGAACTGATTGTGAGACTTCGGATTGAAGAAGACAATCGATGTGCGGCTAAAAGGCTAAACAAAACAGCCAATCATAACATTGCCAAGGCAAATATGGTGGAAGTCAAAAAGGACTTCAAGAAAAGAAAGCAAGCTCAATTTGAGTCTAAACTAGGACCAAAAGGCAGTGGTTCTAAGAAGCAAAAATTCCAAGGGAAATGCTTTAATTGCAATAAGACGGGACACATGTCATCCGAATGTAGGCTTCCAAAAAGGTCCAGAACAAAAGAGGCTAATGTTATGACAGAAATTTCCAAGGAAGTTCCAGAACAAAAGAGGCTAATGTTATGACAGAAATTTCCAAGGAAGTATCTGAACTTGACCTATGTGTTGTGGTCTCTAAAGTTAACTTGGTTGATTCAAATCCAAGAGAATGGTGGCTTGATACTGGTGCCACACGCCATATTTGTTGTGAAAATGACTTATTTGCAGAGTTTTTTTCTTGTAAGAAATGAGAAAAGATATATATGGGCAATGCTGCAACTTCCAAGATTAAGGGGAAAGGCACTGTAATTTTAAATATGATTTCTGGAAAAGAGTTGAAACTTCAAAACGTGTTGCATGTGCCTAACATAAGAAAGAACCTTGTCTCTGGAAGTATACATGGCTCTAGGATGGTGTTTGAATCCAGAAGTTGGTTTTATCAAATGGGGGAATATTTGTGGGAAGGGGATATGTATTGAACAATATGTGGAAACTCAATGTTATCTCTGTAAAAGTTAAAAATATAAATAAGAATGATTCTTCTTCTTCTGTTTCTATGATTGAGTCATTAAATTTATGGCATGGTAGACTATGACATGTTAATTATGATACTTTACGTAGATTAATTAACTTAGAACATATTCCTCTATTTCACATTAATTATAATCATAAATGTGAAACATGTGTTGAAGCTAAACTAACAAGGTCTTCATTTAAACCCGTTGAAAGAAATACGGAACCTCTTGATCTAATACACAATGATGTTTGTGACTTAAAATTTGTTCAAACTAGAGGAGGGAATAAATATTTTATTACCTTCATTGATGATAGAACAAAATATTGCTATGTATATTTGCTTAAAAGCAAAGATGAAGCTATAGAAAAATTATTCTATAAGCAGAAAAGTTGAAACCCAACTAACAAAAGGATTAAGAGGTGAGAATGATCGTGGTAGTGAATATGTTGAACCATTTGGTCAATATTGTGCACAACATGGTATTATTCATGAAGTAACACCACCATACTCTCCTCAATCGAATGGAGTCGCAGAGCGGAAAAATCGAACATTAAAGGAAATGATGAACGTTATGCTAGGAAGTTCTGGGTTGTTACAGAACATGTGGGGGGAAGCTGTCTTATCAGCAAATTATCTTTTAAATATGGTGCCTCGCAAGAAAAAAGACAAGACACCATATGAGTTGTGGACAAGAAAGAAACCCTCCTACAATTACTTGAAAGTGTAGGGGTGTCTTGCAAAGGTAATAGCTCCTTTATCAAAACAAATGAAAATAGATTCTAAAACAGTGGATTATATTTTCATTGGTTATGCTCACCACAGCAATGCATATCGATTTCTTGTGCATGAATCAAAGAATCCAGAAATTCACAAGAGTACGATATTAGAATCTAAAAATGCCTCATTCTTTGAAAATATATTTCCTTGTAAAATTAGAGAAGTTGGCTCAAGTTCAAGTAAACTAACTTTAGAAACTATTAATGAAAATAGTCAAGACTTCTAACAAGAGGTTGAAGTCGAGATAGAGCCAAGAAGAAGTAGAAGGGCACGGGTAGAAAAATCCTTTGGATCGGATTTTTTAACCTATATGCCAGAGACTGAACCTGTAACTTATAGCGAAGCTATACATTTATCTGAAAGTAATTTTTGGAAAAATGTCATCAAGAGTGAAATTGATTCCATCATGAAAAATCATACGTGGGAATTAGTGGATCTTCCTCATGGAATTAAACCATTAAATTCTAAATGGATTTTCAAACGAAAAATGAAAGTAGATGGAACAATTGATAAGTACAAGGCCATATTGGTTATTAAAGGGTACCGATAAAAGGAAGGTCTTGATTACTTTGATACATATTCACCCGTATCAAGAATAACTTCTATAAGAATGATACTTGCAATTGTCGCTTTACAAAATTTAGAAGTACATCAAATGGATGTTAAGACCACTTTTCTTAATGGAGATCTTGATGAGGAAATTTACATGGAACAACCTGAGGGTTATGTAGCTCCAGGACAAGAAAAGAAAGTATGTAAGTTGGTAAAATCATTATATGGACTTAAGCAAGCACCAAAGCAATGGCATGAAAAGTTTGATAGTGTTATGATATCAAATGGATTTAAAATAAATAAGTGTGACAAATGTGTGTATGTCAAAATCACTGTTGATGGATATGTAATCCTATGTTTATATGTTGATGACATACTCATTGTTGGAAGTAACAATGAAATGATAAAACGTACCAAAAATATGTTAAATTCAAAATTTGACATGAAAGATATGAGACTTGCTGACATGATTTTGGGCATCCAAATCAAAAGGTCATCTGAAGGTCTCATATTAACTCAGTCACACTATATAGACAAGATTCTCGAAATTTTTGGCAAGGATGATTCTGGTGTAGCCAAAACTCCAATAGATACAAGTCAACATCTATCTAAAAATAAAGGTGAAAGTATTAATCAAGTGGAATATGAAAGGATCATAGGCAGTCTAATGTACCTTATGAGTTGCACTAGACCTGATATTGCTTTCATTGTAAACAGTTTAAGCAGATTTACAAGCAATCCAGGGGAGAAACACTGGAAAGAAATTGTAAGGGTATTGAGATATCTCAGATATACTCGAAACTATGGATTGCATTATTCTAGAGATCCTGCTGTGTTAGAAGGATTCTCTGATGCCAGTTGGATATCTGATATTCAAGATACCAAAGGCACAAGTGGTTATATTTTCACTTTGGGAGGAGGAGTTGTATCATGGAAATCCTCAAAACAAACAATTATAATCATCAACGATGGAATCTGAGTTTGTAGCCTTGGATAAAACTGGAGAAGAGGAAGAATGGTTACAAAATTTTTTGGAGGATATTCCTGAATGGCCAAAGCCTGTACCCAAAATATGTATATATTGTGATAACCAAGCAACAATTGGTAGAGCACAAAATGTAATGTATAATGGTAAGTCGAGACACATGCGACGTCGACACAATACCATTAGACAACTGATCTCAACTGGAGTTATTTCTATTGATTTTGTAAAATCAAAAGATAACATTGTGGATCCGCTAACCAAAGTGTTGAATCGAGATCAAGTTGATAAAACATCAAGAGGAATGGGACTAAAGCCCATGAATTTTTAAGGCTCTATGTGAAGGAAAACCCAACCTAGTTGATTGGAGATCACAATATCTAGGTTCAATGGGACAACCTACTTACATAGACCTGGTGAGGTCACTGTGGGGGGTTTTATCCCCAATCCCATTCCTATGATGAAAACAGTGACTAAAATGTGGATAAGGTTAAGCAATGCTTTTAATGACCAATATATGTTTCGTTAAACCGAACAACATAAGTCACCTATGTGAGAATGAAGTTGAGCCGCTTCAAAGAAACTATTGGGGCATAGTTCTCTAATCTCTTGCAGAACCAGGAGATGCCCACGGCTATATGGACATAACCATGAGAACCAAACTCTTGTCAGTAAGATATTTGTGTGAGGTATGTCATCGCTTACACAAACAGCAGGACAGTTCAAGGACATCACGTCTACTGGACAGCTAGTAAGGTAAACATATTTTCACAATGGAAGGTTCAAAGGGGACGCTTACCTATCATATACAAATATCGAACGTAGAATCTATCACAACATCGAGTCAATGTTTTAAATAATCAAATTCATTCATGTGGGGGATTGTAGGAAAAATATGAATGAATTGATTGAATCATGACTATTCATGAAAAATAATTAAGTCTTTTCATGAACAATAGTTATTTCATTTCACTCTAAAGGTCATGTCTTTCCATGATAACCTTTTGATTAAAAGGTTATGATTTTTAATCAAATGGTTAAGTCGTTTCATTTAAAGGTCTTAACCTTTCAATAAAGATCTTAACCTTTCAATCCTCTCCCTATATAAAGGCTAAGTTGTGACACATTTCAACACACAACTTTCAACTATTTTCTTTCAAATATTTCCCTTTCAATTCTCTGATTCTTCCAAAGTTATTTTCCGATGATAGATAAAGAAAAAGATTGTGTCCGATTGTTCACTTCGGTTGTGCTTACTGTTGTGAACGTTTGTTGTTGTATCCTGGGAGACCAACGTCTAACGTTACTCAAAGCACCGAGGAGAGGACGAATCTGTCTTAAGGAAACTGTTTGTTCAGGCCTCAACAAAACTCTTCTTCTATTTATTTAGTTCCATCCGATTACAGGTTCTATTTTATTTCACATTTATTTTTACTTTATTATTGAAATGAAATTTTTAGATTATAATACTACAACACTATTTTTCAATATTTTGCAGCAATGATGCATATCACTATCTGGTTAGATAGAAAAATATTTTATAAAGAAGTGTAATAAAGTTATTAAAGGAATTTGATCCAAAGTGCAAAGGTTGGAAGGTGCACATATTTGCCAAAAAACCATGATAAATGTTTGGTTAAAGAGATACACTGTAGTGTATGGGTGATTCTGCTGTGCGGCGTCTAAAAACGGCTAAAAAATGGTGTGACCTGTTAAATAAATGACCGATTAAAATTTAGACCAGTTATGTTATATCATTTAACCGGAAATATTATCAAGTACAATAATATATTAGGTAGCGCTTATATAATGTAATAGGTAGCGCTTATATTGACGTATTTTCTAACTAAACAGGTATATTTAATCGGTAACATTGCAAATTTACCTATTATATTATAATTATCGGTTTTGATATTTTTGGGATTGATACAATTTTAAATGTATCGACACTTTATGCGTGCACCTCGTTGTGCTTTTATTTTGGGAAAAAAGTGTCGACACATATTTAAAGAGTGTCGATATATAATGTAAATCTATTTGTTAATTAACCAGTATATTTTTACCAGTTACATTGTAAATTTACATGTTACTAATAATTATCGATTTCGATGTTTTTTTGAATTGATACTTTTCATAAATGCATCGACACTTATGCGTGCACCAGTTTGAATTCTTTAATCATAAGTTTATTCTTTAAGAAACTAAAACTGGCCTAACTTTATCCTATGGAGATAATAAGAGTATATCATAAGTTTGCGT